GAAGAAGGAAGAAGGAAGAAGATGAGGGAGAGAGGCTTTCATGTGGGCTCTAGTTCATTTGAGCACCTAAGTTTGAGAGTTCGATTAGGTTTGCGGTTTTTAACTCCTCAAATTTCTTTTCTACTTATAAATATTAAAGTTGTTGGCTAGTTCACATATGGGTCCAACATTGTTTCCAAATAAACAAATACACGCATCCTCACATGTGGAACTAGCAACCTTTCAAGAGATATATAAACAAATATAATTTACTCATATGTGGGATCTATCATAATTAAACAAATACACTACTTTCATGTGAGACCAATTTTTTTGTAAAAGGCACAAATAACAAAGAAAAAAATGTGACTTCAACTCAAAATCTTGTCTTTCCGACATACTATGGACATTTAAATATCTTTCATCATATTTTTGCTATTTTTTCTAATCTGCTCTAAGCGAGGAAAAAAAGTCTCCAAAATGACCCAAACGGCAGTCGGCAAACTACAACAATGACCATATCAGCACCAACCATCTCTTGACATCACAAGGACAATGATGGTCTTCAACAACAGTGCCTTCATAAAGGGAACGGTGCTCAAGCGTCATGATCACACGATCAAGCCACAAGAGGCTAATTCTAAGTTTTCACCCTGAAGAACGAGTCCGCGCATATCTGAGCAATGTCTTTAACAAGGTAACGATGCAAAAACATCCCATTGCCAGGTCCACCCAGGTAAGGCCTAAGGTTTTTACCCCCTAAGCTCGAGACCGGTACTCAAGAAGCACCACCTTGATGCCAAAAAAAAGCAGATTTTTAAAGATTGTTTTGCTACTTTATTTGATTTTACTATTTACGCCGAGAGACTCATGGGTTAAAGCACTAATGACATAGTATGTAGATCCATCAATTATTTTATGGATGTGCTCTTAGATTGACTATGATTATGTGGTAGAATGATACGTCTCCGACGTATCTACTTTTCCAAACACTTTTGTCCTTGTTTTGAACTCTAATTTGCATGATTTGAATGGAACTAACCCGGACTGATGTTGTTTTCAGCAGAATTGCCATGGTGTTATTTATGTGCAGAAACAAAAGTTCTCGGAATGACCTGAAACTTCACGGAATGTCTATTTGAAAATAATAAAAAATCCTTGCAAAAGATGAAGACCAGGGAGCCCACACCCTAGCCACGAGGGTGGGAGGCGCGCCCCCCTATCTCGTGGGCCCCCTGGAGCTCCTTTGACCTCAACTCCAACTCTATATATTTGCTTTCGGGGAGAAAAAAATCAGGGAGAAGGATTCATCGCGTTTTATGATACGGAGCCGCCGCCAAGCCCTAAAACCCCTCGAGAGGGCTAATCTAGAGTCCGTTCGGGGCTCCGGAGAGGGGAATCCGTCGCCATCTTCATCATCAACCATCCTCCATATTGCTATGACTTTGCTATGCTTAATGCTTGTCACTAGAGCCCGAGTGCCATGATTTCAGATCTGAACCTATTATGTTTTCATCAATATATGAGAGTTCTTGATCCTATCTTGCAAGTCTATAGTCACCTATTATGTGTTATGATCCGTTAACCCCGAAGTGACAATAATCGGGATACTTACCGGTGATGACCGTAGTTTGAGGAGTTCATGTATTCATTATGTGTTAATGCTTTGGTCCGATACTCTATTAAAAGGAGGCCTTAATATCCTTTAGTTTCCGCTAGGACCCCGCTGCCACGGGAGGGTAGGACAAAAGATGTCATGCAAGTTCTTTTCCATAAGCACGTATGACTATATTCGGAATACATGCCTATATTACATTGATGAATTGGAGCTTGTTCTGTGTCACCTTAGGTTATGACTGTTACATGATGAACCGCATACGGCATAATTCTCTATCACTGATCCATTGCCTACGAGCTTTTCATATATTGTTCTTCGCTTATTTACTTTTCCGTTGCTATTGCTATCATCACTACAAAATACCAAAAACATTACTTTTGCTATCATTACATTTTGCTATCGTTACCACTACTATCATATTACTTTGCTACTAAACACTTTGCTGCAGATACTAAGTTTCTAGGTGTGGTTGACTTGACAACTCAGCTGCTAATACTTGAGAATATTCTTTGGCTCCCCTTGTGTCGAATCAATAAATTTGGGTTGAATACTCTACTCTCGAAAACTGTTGCGATCCCTTATACTTATGGGTTATCATAGAAAGATAGATCTAGCAATTGGCTCTCATCTCTTTAGGCATTTCTCTGGCCTATATCTTAAGCTATATCATAGACATTAAATGTGTGTTTGGATACAATTTCAACTATGTGATTATATTTTAGAGTTGTATCTAAAAGTACTCTCATTTAATACATCTTGTGAGATAAAAATCATTAGTTTTCTTGGATTCGGTTGAGCATCGAGGACTCACATAGGAAACAAATAGTCATATCTTCTCATTTTCTTCCAATTTATTTTCTACAATTTTAAATTCATTTGGTTGTAAACTATGAGATTTTTATTTATTCTATTATAAACTATGTGAATTATTTGTTTAAACATGTGCAATATTTTATTCATTTCAATTGGGATTTTATAGAATGACAAAAATGATAAGTAGCCCCGTTGGACATACTGAACAGGGAAGGGTGGACATGGACCCGAAGCTTGTCCGTTCGGCCACCTAAACGGACACATTTCGTGTCCGTTTAGTTCGGCCCGTTGTAGTTGGGCCTAAGGGTTGTGGTTTGTGGGTTGCGGTTGCGTTTGGAGGACAACGTGTTACAATAATTACCTCAACAGTAGGAGTGGACTTATGAAATATCCTATATGACACTTACTACAATAAACTGTTGCTAAAACACACAGGGAGAAGTGCGAGCGAATGACATGAGGTGTCCCATTTTTATCAGCATTAACGTGCTACTAGATCCCAGTTTTGTTCACTCATTTTAACTGTTTTTTTTTTGGCTTTTTTCCCTTGTATTTTCTTCTTCTTTTTCCTTTTTTTCTTTTCTTTTTCCCTTTTCAAGTTTATATTCTTTTTCCAATTTGAATTCAAGTTTAAAAAAATTGAATTCGGAATTTAAAAAATGTTATCTTTTTCAAAACTTGTTCGCCAATTTAGAAAAAGATTTCATTTCAAAAACAATTCAGGATTTTAAAAATATTCATGTTTTCAAAAATTGTTTATAATTTCTTAAAATGTTCTTATTTTTCTAAATTTGTTCAAAATTATAAAAAATGGGATTTATAAAACTTCTGTGGTTTCAATTTATTTCGGAATTTATAAAAGATCTTGATTTTCAAACTTTGTTCACAATTGAAAAAATATCTGAGAATTTCAAAATTGTTCATGGTTTCGAGAAAATTTAAGAATCTGAAAATTGTTCTTGTTTTTCATAAAATGTTCAAATGTTTAGAAATTGTTCATGTATGCATAAATTGTTTGTGCTTTTCAAAAAATGTTCACATTTTCATATTTGTTTTATAATTTATAATATTCTTTGTGCTTTAAAGTATTCGGCATTTTGAAATTTTCTACAATGTTTAGGAAATGTTTCAAATTTTGACGCTTTAATGGTCTTAAATATTTCACGCTTCAATTGGTCACTAGCAGTCAGTAAGTTTTTTTTTTTGAAGGGGTATTAGCAGTCAGTAGTTGTAGTGGCTATTGTTTTATGTCGCACACACCCAACTCGCTTCGCCCTACTAGGACAGCCCAGTCCAGAGTGGCGTTGCAATGACCAGGCTCCATGGAGCTCATTTTTCAAAAAAGAATCAAAATATATTTAGAAGTTCCCAAAATGTCATTTTTTTTCTAAAAATACATATGTATATTCTTCAAGTTTGCATAAATTTTCATCAACTAATTTGACAATATATCTGACCCAGGTACAACAAAGAAAAAGCCTATTTTAATCTGTGTATTTGTCTTTTTGTGTAGATCATGTATGAATATGTATGTTCATGAAATTTTATACATGTATACTACAACTATAAATCTACATGTATACTTTTTTCAGAATTTTGTTTAGGTATAGAAAAAGTATTTTCTCTGAAAAAAATAAAGGGCTCTATGGAGCCTGGCCTTTGCTTGCACTTTTTGGGCCCAGTCGCGCTAGTAGGCGGGCTCCTAAATGACGCAAATATAGGAGATTCCTGGCCTTACACAACGCCGTCCAACTTCCTTAATTAGGAGTGACCTATACAACGCCGGTCAACAGGCCGGTGCTAGCAACCGTAAAACCGAAGTGCTGACGGCTGATTTTTTTGAGGCTTCTATATTAGTTATCCCATAACTAGTTCAGAAACCCCAATAAATGAGGGAGACAGCTTATAGAAAAAGTTGGGGAGGAGGCGGCTTATAAAATAAGCCGCCAAAAGAACTGGCCGTAAGTATTCCAAGTAAATACCCCTAAAAAAGCATTCCAAGTAAATCCCTTTGTTGTGGCAGGTGTGGCTGAAAAGACCCAGCAGTGTGCTGCGAGGGGCCGCGACAACTTATGGTTGTGTGGAAGAGGAGCAGGGCGAGGCTCAGGACCTTATTTTGATTGTAAAATTGCTGGAGCAATTGAATTGAATTGATGCTGATCAACCAGCGGTCCAACAGCCGCTTTCTGAATATAAGAAATACACATAAAGAAGCTTTAGCGTTGAACTACAACAGCACAAAAGTTGCTGCCGTCAAAAGAAATCTACCAGGGAAAGCCGTTCTACACAACCATGGTGGAACATTTCAAGGTTTATCCGGAAAATACTAATCTTGAAAACAGCGCAAGCAATGAGGGGAAAAAAAAGAAAGATGAAAGGATCTTGCAACACGATGCATATCTATTGACGAAATCTGGCCTTACCAAGATGAATTGCAGTATTCAGCCGATGAACATTACAGGCAATTCAACATCATAAGAGACCAGAAATCAACGCATGAGTAGCAGCTCATGAGACTTCATCCACCAGCACATACTGTATCACATGCTACCACCAAAAATCAATGACCTAAACTAGTGAGGGCACGCACTCACGCCCCTAGCGCGACACACAGACCAAACTTGGTATCCTTTTGAGGCGCTTGGGAATTGGACTCGGCGGAGAAGGCGACGTAGCGCTTGGGCTTGGGGCCGTACCGGAGCAGGACGCTCACCGCTCCATCACTGCCAAGCTTGGCCTTCACCGTTGTGTTCGGATCCAGAGAATGAGAAAAACCCGCCGTAAGAGTGCTGTCGTTGGAAGACAGAACACGCTGCACCTTGGCAGCGATGGACGTCGTCTCGTCTAACTTCTGATGATAAGTTGCTGTGAGAACGTCGGCATTTTCCCTAGCATTGAAATTTGGTAATGTTAGTGTCACTAAAATGCAATGCTCGTGTATAAGTTGTGCAGAAAAGCCACAGATAACTGGCTCACATTGTGAAAGAAGCACCCACGTCTCCTTCCGATAGAACCAAACCACAGGTGTACTTAGGAAATCGCAGGAGCTGGGTTTCAAGGGAACCAACCGCGCCCAAAGCATCGAGGGACTTTGTGATGACCGAAACATCAGCACCTAAAGCAATGCTTTTCGTGCCAATCATAGCAGAAAACGAAACAATTGGCGATCCCTGAAGCTCAGAACTTCCGGTTATACAAGCACCGAGATGACGATACTGAAGGTCCACCTAAATTAACGGAAAAAACCTGATTATCTACACGGCAGGAAATCACCACCGTTCATACACAGCCACCTACAGAGAGTCGGTACCTTCGATGAGCTCTGGGAGGAGACGGGAATAGACAGAAGTCCCTTCAAACCAGGCCTCAACACATCATCAAGTGTAAGTTTGATAAGCTGAAGATATAAAAAAACAAATGAGTTTGACAATCAACCATCTAAGATAGAGAGAAGGGAGAGGGGGGCAACAAAAAGCAACTTGCCTTTGTATCAGATGACAACTCAAATCCCAAAGATGCTTTTCCAACTTGCTCAGAGCCATCAGACAAAAGAACCTACAAGATGAAGTAAACTATAACAGATTGAAAATTTTATATATGATGACCGACGTGCCAGCTCAGTAGTTATCAAGAAAAGACCCACCAAATGAACAGCAGACAGTAAACATTTTACGCACCAAAACGAGTCAACAGGCACAAGCAAAATTACTCAGCGCAAAAAGGAAGTTGAACAAACGAACTCACAGCGGTGTCAAGCACCTTACAGTCAGATACCATCTTCAGACCTGTGTTATAGTCCTGGTACAGCAAATCTGCAAAGAGGATAGAAACAAATAATATATATAAGTAAACAGATGTCTCAAACCACAACATCAGACAACAGATAATTACTGAAGTCAGAACATACCATACGCCTTTTTGCCGATCTCATGAAAAAAGCAAGCATAGTCTCCATCTGCAGGCTGCTTCTCACCTCCCTCTGAATCCTCCTTGTCTCCCTCTGAATGATGCTTCTCATTTACCTTGTCGGGCACCTGGACAGCAACTCCCTCTGCATCCCCCTTATCTCCCACCGAATGATGCTTCTCATCCACCTCAGCAGGCAACTGGACAGCCACTGCTGGCTTCTGGACAGGCACTGGGGAGAACTCACCATTACCTGTGCATCAACACGTTAGAAGTCGCATATAAACATACAATAGAACAAACTAAGGAGGACAGGTTACCTGTGAAAGGGCAAACGTCTGAACACCCTTTTTCAGCATACTTATCCAGAAGATATACAGACCATCCACCATGAGATAGTAATTTTACGATCTCAATGTACGTGTTGGCAATCCTGGAAGGAAAGAAAACAGGAGTTTCCACCTTCGAGATAGCATCATTAACTGCTTTCACAGGATCCTAAAGCCAATTATGCATTCTATTAGTATCAACAACATGAAACCATGAATTACAAGATAATATCCAGCATATGACAACAGGATTGTAATTCACAGTCAGAAACTTAAGCAAACAGACAACAGGATGGTAAAAGCACAGTCAGAAACTTAAGCAAACAGTTTGGACAGTCAACAAATGACAATAAGATTGAAAAGCCCAGTCAGAAAGTTAAGCAAACAGTTTGTACATTCAACAAATGACAACAAGATTGAAAAGCAGTCAGAAACTTAAGCAAACAGCTTGGACAGTCAATAAGTGACAACAGGATTGAAAAACATGATAATAATTAAATGCCGGGTCAGAAAATAATCCTCATTATCCGAGAAACCAAGCCAAGCAGAGCAAGTTCTGTTTCACTTTTTTTTTTGGCAGAATTCTAGTTACGAGACAAGCAACATCAAGAATCCAGGCAAAACATAAACTGAACATGACCACACTGATATGACAATGCTAAACCATCCAGGATGCTCTGAGCAGTGTCAGTGCTATTTGATACCTACTACTATTTGAGCAATCAGAGCCCCGGTGACATTTCATATGGAGCGTGATTTAATCTTGGACACAATTTCGTTACTCCTAGCAAGACGACATCAGCCTGAACAAAGATTTCTACAATGTGCAACTCTAAATCCAAGGATGAATCCGCAACATCAACAGGAATATCGTCTACGAAACGCCAATGTGAAGCAGATAACATGAGCGAAAACTTGCGGGTTTGCAGACTAGTACCAAGAAAGGGACAGCCGGTGGGGTAGCAGAGCCCGCCGGGGGTGCAGAGGCAGGGGCGGCGCCCGTCGTCGCTGGTCTCGCACCAGCCGATGGGGCAGCAGAACCCGCCCGGGGTGCGGCGGGAGGTGTCGGGGGCGTCTTGGCTGCTCTCGCGGCGCTTCGGACGGCCCTTGTGGCCGGTACGACGGCAGGCAGCCTGGCGCGCCAGGCGGCCCCAAGAACTCGGCCCACCGCGCCGCCGCCCGACGCCCTGAGTAGCACGATCGATACGGGGACAAGAACGAGGTAAGCAACCTGGAGATGAGGAAAGAAACCAAGAGCAAGCAACGAAACCCTCGTTACCCGAGAATGAAGAGCAGCGCGAGCCCGTTGAGCTCGTCGGCGCGGGAGCTCTCGATCTCGGACCGGTCCCGATCAACCATGTCCTCCGGGTCCATGTTGACACCGGCGGCGGTCGGGGCAGGAGGGGGGCAGCGGTGGGAGGGGGAGGGCAGGAGGAGGGCTGCGGGTAAGGCGGTGGCCTGAATGGGAGAGGGCAGGTTGCAAATGCTGGGCGACGGGAACCTTGGCTAGCTTTGTATCCGGTGGCGAGGGAGGCGGGAAGAAGGGGCGAGCGATTACGCCAACGGATTGCCGAGCTAGAAATTCCGGTGCGCGATGGGCCGAGAAATACAGTCGCCGGAGTGCGTCGGAATTCCATGCGCCCAAGAAGCCTGACAGGGCTTAGTTAGGCCCAGATGGCACTCGGTTGGGTAGTGAGAGAGCCCAGATTTTCACAATGTAGGTCGTGCGCTGTTCGGGGGTGAACAATTCGAAGGAAAGCAAGTATAAAACATGTTGGTTTGCTAAATTAAAGTCCATTCGTTCAGAGAGAAATTTATTCGAATGGAGAAGAGCAAATGGCCATGCGTTGGGGAGCTCACTTTTGGCCGGAATGCTGTCTGGAAGTGAACAATTCGAACAAGAGCAAAGGAAGGCAGTGTTGATTTGCTGAATTAAATCGGGGCAAATCCTTTCCTTCACAATGTAGGCCGTGCCGTTGTTTGGGCAGGCAAAAAAATTGGTTCGAAGTGTGTTCAGAAGTGAACAGCTCAGAGAAAACCAAGTAAGACCATGTTGATTTGTTCAATAGAATCGGGGGAAAAGGCTAAAAGGTTTCAGATTGGAGGAGGATTGCAACTGTTTTACCAAGAAATTCGAGCAAAATTCCCAACAGGCAATGAAAAATTCGCACCTCACTGGCGGTCGTAGACTGAAATCCGATTGCACCATGGGTCTGCTTGTCTCGTGGTTGAGCGATTCACCGTCTCCCTGACGGTCCAGCCTCCTGAAAGAAAATCAAACAGGCGTCAGATCCAAGCGGCCACGGGACAGCTGAATGCCAAAGATAGACCGCCACATCACCGTAGAGCCGGAAGCGGTGCGCCGCATCATCGACGATGCGCCATGGCCGCGGCCTGCTCAGCGTTGCCACGTGGCCACGGCTGACTCGCCGTTGCCTCGGCCACCGAGGCCAGGGCTACGGCTTGCCCAACATCTGACACCATGGCCGTAGAGGATGGGACTATTGATGTGTCCTTTATGAGGTAGGAGGAAGGATTAGGGCAGGATGGAAGAGCTCCACAGGCCATGGCCAAGGCCGTGGAGAAGACGAGAGGAAGAAGCTCAATAACTAAATCTTGTAAATCCTCGGTCTGATCGCGGTCTAAGCCCTCTCCCAATGCAAAAAAATAATGTGGCAAGGTAATTAAGAAAAAAGAGACGGGTGTGGTGGCTTTAGGAAAAAACAATGCCAAGCGCGGGAACCTAGGAAAACACTTAAATGAAAAAAATCCATCAATGCATGGACAAGTTTAGTTGCTAAATTATTAAATGAAGGATGCTTAGCAACAACAAGCTAAGCATCTTTGCATTGAGGACTTTAGTTGGTAGATTTTTAATGTGTTTAGCACCTCATCTTAGCACTAGTGCATTGGAGGAGGTCTAGGTCCAGTTCTTTTGCTAGAATCTGAGGATTCTCTTAGAATTCGATCCCTACCCAGCTTCTCCCAGAATCTTTGAGCCCCATTTATTTTACAATCCTATCTAGTTAGGGTCTAATTAGACATGATTGTAAAACAAATGGGACTCAAAAATTCTGGAAAAAGCTGGGTAGGGGTCGGATTCTGGCAAAAGAACTGGGCCTAAGAGCATCTCCAACGGAAAAAAGGCCCTTTTTGCGCACGAGAACTCGGTTGGCTCACTTCAGCACACGCCGGATTCCGGCGTGCTAAAAAAACTATGCACTTGTGAAAAAGCAGCAACGCGCGCGGCAGTTTTGGCGTGCGGCATCCAGCACGCTCTATAAAACCCGTGCGCGGGCGTCCGCCAACCACCGTTGTCGGTGTCAAAACCGGCGGATCTCAGGTAGGGGGTCCCGAACTGTGCGTCTAGGCGGATGGTAACGGGAGGCAGGGGACACGATGTTTACCCAGGTTCGGGCCCTCTTGATGGAGGTAAAACCCTACGTCCTGCTTGATTGTTCTTGATAATATGAGTAGTACAAGAGTTGATCTACCACGAGATCAGAGAGACTGAACCCTAGAAGCTAGCCTATGGTATGATTGTATATTCGTCCTACGGACTAAACCCTCCGATTTATATAGACACCGGAGGGGGCTAGGGTAACACGGAGTCGGTTACAAGGAAGGAGATCTACATATCCGTATTGCCAAGCTTGCCTCCCACACCAAGGAGAGTCCCATCCGGACACAGCATGAAATCTTCAATCTTGTATCTTCATAGTCCAACAGTCCGGCCAAAGGATATAATCCGGCTGTCCGGATACCCCCTAATCCAGGACTCCCTCGGTATCCCCTGAACTAGACTTCAATGACGACGAGTCCGGCGCGCAGATTGTCTTCGGCATTGCAAGGCGAGTTCCTCCTCCGAATACTTCATAGAAGATTTTGAACACGAGGATCGTGTCTGGCTCTGCAAAATAAGTTCCACATACCACCGTAGAGAGAATATTATTTTCACAAATCTAATCTGCTGACGTACCCCGTAGCGTGACATCACACCACAGCCAGGTCTTTATTCGAATCATTTTTCATAACCTATCTCAGCGTGTTTCGCGAGGCGGTTTCCTTGGCACGTCTTGTTGAAGCAGAGATCGTGTCCCCTTATTACGGGATTCTCATCAATACGAACGTGGGTAACCCAACCGCGCCAGCAATTACGACGCTTGGGGGATAAGCGAGTTTTACCAGGCTGGTGGGGGCATAGTTTCGTCCGCCCTTATAAAGGGATAATGTTTCACCTTTTTCTACCCATGCCTTCTTCCTTCTTGCTCATCCATTCTCGCGCACTCGAGCTCCAGCGCCCAAGTCCACATCCTTCTCCTCAACTCTCTCCAAACATGTCCGGAGCGGGAGGCAAGTGGATGGTCTCCTCCGTCGCGGAGGGACACATCAAAAAACTACGTGGGGCCGGATACTTAGCCGCGGATATCACGCACCGGCTGCCAGCCGCGAGCAGATCGTCCATACCCCGGAACCTTACGAAAGGGTGGTTTTCCTCCCCAACTTCGTCCGCGGACTGGGGTTTCCCCTCCATCCATTCATCCGCGGCCTTATATTCTATTATGGACTGGACTTTCATGATCTGGCCCCGAATTTCATCCTCAACATCTCGGTGTTCATCGTCGTGTGCGAGGCTTTTCTCCGCATCCGGCCCCACTTCGGCATGTGGCTGAAGACCTTCAATATCAAGCCGAAGGTAGTAGGCGGCCAACAAGCGGAATGCGGCGGAGCCATTGTGGGCAAAATGCCCAACGTTACATGGCTCGAGGGCTCCTTCGTGGAGACCATAAAGGGGTGGCAATCGGGGTGGTTCTACATCACCGAGCCGCGCGACACCAACTGGGTGGCGGCCCCCCGAGTTTCGATCCGGAATCCCCACGCGGCTCACTTCCTGGAAGGAGAAGGGCCTGTCCTGGGGCTCATCGGTGGAGCTGGACGGACTCCAGAAGTGTATACGGAACATGATAAGCAAGAAACTTAAGCTTGTCAACATAGTCCAGGTCATGCTCTTCCGCCAGATCCTCCCGTGTCAACAACAGGCTTTCAACTTATGGGAGTTCGACCCGGCCCAGCACCAGACTCTAGGCGAGCTCTTCGACATGATGCATAAGGACGTCTGGAAGGTGGTGTTCAAGGGCGCCGAGGTCCCCCTTCTCTTACCGAGGACCGCGGGCTAAGCGCGAAGCGCCCTGCGAATCCGGTAAGTTCTGTACATCTGGTAGAGTATTTATTTCCCATAGCTTAACCATGTGCGGGCTCTGAGCTCCCATGCCTTTGACAGGACTGGGTGGAGACATCGGAGCAGATTAATTGTTCGACCCCTCTGCCCGAAGACCCTGCAGACGCTCTCCTGACGAAGATGCGGAGTCCGACTCCTTATTAGGTGCCAAAGAAGACCAAGAAGAAGGCCACGGGAACCCGAAAGAGTTCCCGGTGCCAGGTGGTATCGGACACATCGTCCGATAACTCCGAGACGCACTCCTCCCGTGAAAACGAGGAGGAGGAAGATGAAGATTCTCCCCCTCCAGCCGAGGAAGACAAGAAAAGGAAGGCCGCCCCAACCGGGGAGGCCGAAGGGTCCAAGAAGGGAAGGACTCTCCTTCCGGACTGTTCCACCACCGCCGGCGACGGCGAAGACGAGTGGCTACTCAGGGCCAAGCCCCTGACGAAGTCGTAAGTATTCGGATACCAGAGTAACTCATAGCATACTTTTGTTGCACTGCTTCTCCTAACGTCGAATATGATTATGCAGTCCGCCCCGAGCCCGTATCGACGTATCCTCGTCGGACGGTTCCTTGGACTCGTCGGATATGAATAGTGATACCCTTCCAACCGCCTCCTCTCCTTGCCCTACGGACAATGTCGAGGTATTGTCTCAAGGGGCACCGAGCCGGGGGAGATAGTCCTGTAGGCGCCTCAAGGCGACCTTCCGGACTCCAGGAGCAAAGGGAGCAAGACTCCCAAGGGCTCCAAGTTCGGCCCTCAGCCAACCACCACGCCGGAACCTCCAGTGGTTCCGGACTCCGGCAGGCGGCCCCCTTCCAAGAGGGGCAAGCCGCCCGTGCCGGTGACCTCTGTCCATCCAGAGGCACCGGACAACCTGCTGGGAGCGCTTCGCGGCGCTTCCATCGACGAAGAGCACCACACTATTATGAGTGCGGTGATCAAGAAGGTTCAGTCCGCCAAGAGCGGACTGACTAAAGCCTGTGCCAGCCTTCTAACAGGCTTTGAGGTAAGTATTTAAGATATAAGAAAATATTACCGCATAGACAGTAGCCCCTGATGCTCTGTTTGGTGTTCACAAAGAAAAGCCGAATAGAGGATCAAATAATATCTGCAGGAGTCTAATATAAGTATGTCTGTATGCGTATGCA